ACGACGTCGAAATTTGGTTTTATTTACCAAAATAGGTAGAATTACATCTAAATCCACATTGTAGTAGCCCAGTACGTTTGGTTAGTAATACCTCTCTAGGGAAATATGACGTCAGTTTAACGTTAATTCGACGTTGATTTAACTAAGTTTAGGTAGAAACTACCAAAATATTTGCAGATGACGTATGCCTCCAAGTGTACGAAAAGAAATTTTATACTTATTTGGTATTTTTATCTATATATAAGTAGAAATATTGTAAGAAGTCACCAACACAACTAAAACATATACCTAATTCACATGAAAGATTGAAAATAAATAAATATCGGTGACAAAAATATATGTAATGTAATTGCGGTGAATATACAGTTCACGCTTGTTGAAATTAATGCGAAGAAAATTTTGTCGTGCATGTTAACAGTTCTACTTAGAAAAATAACAATGCCCTTCCAAAATAATCTCTAATTAAAAAAATATAAGAAAAAAATATGATCGTGTAAAAAAATAATAATAATATTATGAGCTAAAACTATGTTACGTTTGTTGTGCATCACTTTAGAAAATCAATAATGTTTCGTTTTTCGGTATTTTCATTCGTATGTTTTAGTTATGGTGATTTTAAAAATTTAAAATTTGGAATCGTACTTCAATTACGTTAAGAAAATATGGCGTATTGTGCGAATTCGACCTAAAAGTCATTATGACTAAGGAAATCTACATATTTTACAAATACCTTTTTACTAAGTTGAATTAACTTCAATTTCACGACATATTAGTTAACTTTACCTATTTAAAGAAATAATAACTTATAGGTTTTATAAAAAATTTACCTATAGGTAAATATAACATATTTAGGTCACGTTGTTCTGCACTTGAGATTTTAGACGTTTCACTTTACGATAAAAATCGGAAGTATAACGATATGATTTATTATTTTTCGAACTCATTTTATTAATTATTTTTCGCATTCATTTAAAGCTCTATCTACACCACACGTAAATTAAGATTACGACTGTAATGGTTTTTTTAAAATGGCCGAAATTCTTAAGAATAATGACGAAGACAGTAACTGAACAACCTAATTGTTAAAATAACCTAAATAATATAAATTTTACAAATAGGTCATGTATGACTTTTTTTAAATTGGTGGTTTTTAGTCGAATTTACTTTGTGGTAAATTTTTCAGGTAATTGCTACAACAAAGTTAATAAATATTTCTTCAAGATAACTTATAGGTCAACTAAATGAGTATTCGACTATTTGGTTGAAATTAGGTAGATAAACAGGTAGAATTTTGCTACGATCTCGACCTAATATTACTTTAAAGGAGAGTAAATAAAAGCTGCCAAATAGGTTAATATGGAGACATAAAATTACGTAGAATTTTTAACCAAATCTACCTAGTTGGATATTCTACTATAAAGACGATTTTTAGTTGCCAAACAGGTAGATATTACCTAAATATGGCACCTAATTTTACTACAAAGGAAATTTAACTTTGAAGTAATTGTTGGTTATTTTTTTTAGTAGTTTTTCCCTTGCTGATATGGTTAAAGTTACTTTTAAGCAGATTTGTGTAAAAGGTAGATTTCTTGGTATAATTTACGTAAATTTAAATATAAATTAAAACCGTTTGGTAAATTTACATTAGAGGTATATTTTTCTAGTCAATTTTACGTAATAATTACCTCAATAAGTAAATTCGTCTTAAACAAAGTCGAGTTATAACTAATGTTATAGAAAATGTTTGCTGGGTATGTATTTTTACAATGTATGACTAATTTTACTATGACGTCAAGCAAGCATATTTTAAAAAAATAAAAGATTATACAATACACATTTCTTCTTATATAAAGAGAACCACAACATAAAATTATTAATTCATAACTCTACATATTAATTGATTTTTGGTAAAGGTAATACCACTTAAATATTTTTACCTCTAAGTTTCAAAATATATATAAGGTGATTTATTTATTCAAGGATATTCCATTTAAGAAAAGTACAAAAACCTTGTATTCTAAAATTTCCTTGGTGAAATGTTACCATTTTTTTAGTATATAATGCTTTTACCACCTTTTTATGAGATATGTGAATTTTAAATTTGATACTATGACTAGATACAGGGCGTTAAAGTGGAGAATTGCTGATTTTAGTTATTTTTTCTTCAAACTGAGAAGCTGAATTGACTTTATGTAGCATATGTAGCAAAAAGGTATGTCATAAATTCTTCCTCAGATAGATTACCAAAAAATAAGTGGATTTGGGTATATTTACCTATATCAAAAACTGGCTCTTAACAAAGTTATAGGGCGTAAAACTAACATTAAAAAAAACGTTTGTTTTTTTAAAAAAAGTTAGCTGTTGCGATTTTTTCTTTGAATTTTTTTCCAGTGCTGTAGATTTGAAGGCCCAATATTCCAAGGAGAAAAAAATATTAAAGTGACCCCCTTAAAAAAAGTTGAGGGGTTGGGTACCTTTTAACCCCCCTGTATTTTTTTGACATAAGGAAACTTGCTTTATCAAACTTAAAATCAAAAAGGACTATTAATTTTTAAGTTTTTTTTATAGTGAAATGAACTTTGTATCTTTCTTAGTTAACGAGCCATTTACAATTTTTTAACTGAATTTCTAGAGCAATTCGTCCGTCCTGGACTTAACATATCAACAAAACTAAGAGTAAGTCAGGAGTTATAGTACAAAAAGCGCCTATAAAAATCAGTGGTGTGCCTAGGGTTGTGCTTGAGCCGCCTCTGCAAAAACTACCTCTTTTATTTATATTTTTGTATTCAAGAAGGAGGAGGATGTGTTGAACATTTACTAAATTAAATAGTTTATAAAATATGTATAATAATTATTGTCAAGTGTTTATTTTTAATTGTTAATGTTTTTAATTATTATTAAATTTAATAAATATATTTCCAAACTAACTTATCAGTGGCATGGTGAACCCATGAGGACGGAGTGGTATACCATTTTTATGGCGCCAATCCAATATAAATACCTTTTTTACAAAAATATAAATAAAAGAGGTATTTTTTGTAGGGGCGGCTCAAACACAGCCCTAGGTACACCACTAATTTTTATATGCGTTTTTTGTACAATAACTCCTGACCTACTCTTAGTTTTGTTGATATGTTAAGTCCAGGACGGACGAATTGCACCAGAAATTCAGTTAAAAAATTGTAAATAGCTCTTTAAGAAAGATACAAAGTTAATTTCGCTATAAAAAAAATAAAAATTCATAGTTCTTTTTGATTTTAAGATGGATAAAGCAAGTTTCTTGATGTCAAAAAAATACGGGGGGGGGGTTAAAAGGTACCCAACCCCCTAACTTTTTTTAAAGTAGTCGCTTTAAATTTTTTTCTCCTTAAAATATTGGGCCCATAAATCTATAGCACTGGCGAAAACTTCAAAGAAAAAAAACGCAACAAACTTTTTAACGTTAGTTTAACGCCCTGTAACTGTGTTGGAAGCCAGTTTTTGATATAGGTAAATATAGGCAAATATACTTATTTTTTGGTAATCTATCTGAGGAAGAATTTATGACATACCTTTTTGAAACACCCTGTATAAGTTTATTATAAGTTTTGATCAGATGTCCATAAAAAGAGAGAGAATTTTTTTGTGGTTGTCTGGATTGGCTCACCCTGTATAAAAAGTAAACATTGCTAAACTCAGAATTATGAACGGGTAATAATTTTAGAAATTTTAATTTCTTTAGAAAATTTTATACCTTCTTGATTTTCATTACATTAGTTTTTAAAAAATATGGTAAGAATAGTTTTCGAGATATCTGGAAATAAATGCATTACTTGTGTACATGAGAGGCTTCAAGAGTGTTAATTATGCACATTTTGATTGTTAATATCTCGTTTCACAGATGGTCAAAAAATGTATTTTTTTTTTTTTATTTACATAAAAGACACTTTCATTAACCTTATATTTCAATTTTATTGAATTCTTAAGAAAAGCCGTTTTACGAGTGAACTACCTTAATAGAACTAGGTGCAACTCTATGGGCGCAGCCATTTTTATTGTTCATCTCACTAGGGACAGGGTCAATGATATAGATAGCTACATGGATTGATAATCCATGTTTTTCGAAATAAAAATAAGCTTATACCCTGAAGTAAAAATGAAGGTAATAATTTTTTATACCAAACTAATCCTAATTAATGAGCACTTGCGAGGTAATACGGCCGCTCGCAAAACGACCTATTTTGAGTAATCTATATAACTATAAATGTATCATTGACCCTGTCAAAGACACACACGGTTGCCATATCTTACCCTGTCATTATCCAAGGCAGCATTTTGACAGGTCGTTGGAATGCCAAATTTTGTTTGTAATGTCCAATAAATAATAAATTTTTGATTGTTGTCATCTATTAGTAATTCCACATTACTTACCATTATTTTAGGTTATTAAGACAAAACAACTAATATAAAATAATTTATTACTTAAATAAAATAAACGAAAAAAAAAAGTTCATTTTATTTTTCTCCGTCCGAGAATCTAACTCCAGGCTTCCGCGTAGAAGGCCAGAAAGCTGACCATAGGACCACCTATTCTTTTATTTTTGTTGCTTTAATATTCGTAATTAAATTGACTTCTATAGTTTTATTTAAATTAACAATTTATTTATAATTATAGACGAAATAAAAACAGAAATGCTATTATTTATCGATTCTATACAAGAATAATCCATTTTAATGTATGTTTAATCTCAATAACTAAAAAATATACTGACAATTAGTTTGACACAATTGTCACTTATTTAAAAATTTTAAAATAATAGCATTCGGTTGATCAAAATATGAGCGGTGATTGGTGGATTTCATTTTTTTTGCAGTGTTCTTACTACCTAGAATGGATATAAAATATATTCGTTCAGTTGAAGGCAATAGAACACTTTTTCGTTTTGTTATATGTGCGTAGATAAGCTAATATCGATATGGGTGTAGAAAAAATTATTCTGTATACGTTTTAATTGTTTTAGGGTTTGAGGATACAAAAGAACCAACAAGAAAGCATCTTGTTACATCGAGACGTAGCAGCGTCCATGCAAGAACTAGGATACCGTGTCAGTAGACTACATTCTGCAGATCTTGCTCCGAATTTACCACTTTTTCCTGACCAAAGAGGAGCGGATGGATATCTGGGTGATAGCAGCATATTAGGTAAACCTTAAATTTAAATTTAAACGTATTACAGTGCTGGATTAAGCACTAAAGAACTGAACTAAAAATAATTTCTGGTATTCTTGTATTTTAGGCAGATATTATGTATACTACACTTTGCACTGCCGCATGCCGTTTAGAATTTGAATTTTACACCTGCCATGTTATTTTTGTTTCAACGTTTGTTTTTCTAATTTTGAGGGCAAGGAAAAATCTGTGTTTCACAAAAAAAAAAACATCAAAATAATCTAAAAATAGTTTTATTCATTTCTAAAAATTTTCCTTGTCCTGAGAATTTATGTTTGACATTATCTGTGATAACTCAAAATTTACTTTTTGTCTGATTTAAAAAAAATGTATATAATCCTAACAACTACACAGTGCTTCTTAAAAGTCCCCTTCCCCCTCTTTTCTTTTTAACGGTGATACTTGCACTTTGAAATTTGGAGAGTGAAAATGAGTAGTAACAGGTGACGTAATAGTCATCGACAATGTCACAAGGCGACTGAAAACAATAATAATAAATGAGATCTTATAGCAAGTGACACTTTGTTTAAAAGGTATTTAGAATTCCTATTCAGTTTTGCTAATTTTCTTTGGATTTACGGTGATTTTAATGAATAAAATAAATAAACGCTAAAATTTCAGTTCGCTTTTAATTAATAAAGATTCAAAAGTCCGCCTGTGGTTGATTGTCAAAAAAGTTGACGTTTTTGAAGTGAAAACTTCTATTAGCACATACTTCGATTTTTTCTTAGTCAAAGTATGTGTCTATTAGACATTCCAAAAAAAAATGGCTGTCCGAAGGAAATGACAGGCACATGATAGGTAATAATATGGCAACACTGTGGGCCTGGTGATTTAATAGAGTCAATGATATAGATAGTTATAAGATTAATCATTTATGTTTTGTTTTTAAAAACAAATGCCTTGAAGTGAAACTGTAGGTAATTATTTTTTTACTGTTCAAAGGCTGAAAATTGGTTTAAAAATAAATTTTTGCTAAACCAATTCAAATTAATGAACACTTGTCAGGCAATATGGCCGCTCGCAAACGACCCGCTTTGAGCAATCTATGTAACTTTATATGTATCATTGACCCTGTCAATGACAACAGGCCCACTGTAGGCATGGGCGGTTATTGAAAAATAACCGGTTATCGGTTAACCGGTTTATTTTTGTAAGAAATATAACCTTATGCGATTAACCTTTAGTTATTAACCGGTTATTGCAATAACCGGTTATAATTTTATTACTATTACGAATAGCCTCACTAAAAACCAAATTAATAAATTACTGCTTCCCTATTTAAATTATTTAACATGTTACTGTAATTGGCATCTGAAAATAAGAATGCAGCGCCATATTCGCAGCCTAGAACTATAAATATTGTATTTTATCTTTGTATAAAATGACGTACAGTATGCCAAAAGGAATTAGGTATTCCAAACTGAATGGCTACCAGTGGGTTTTGACTGGTTATGATATGGCAAAATTATGGCAACCCTGTAGGCCTGGTGATTTGAGAAAGTCAATGAAATAGATAGTTACATAGATTGATCATCCATATTTTTCAAAATAAACATAAGCTCATGCCTTGAAGTAAAAATGTAAGCAATTCTTTTTTTTTAAATATCTAAAGGCTAAAAATTAGTTTTAAAACACATTTTTGCTAAACCGATTCAAATTAATAAATATTTGCCAGGCAATATGGCCGCTCGTAAACGACCAGCTCTGAGCAATCTATATAACTATATATGTATCATTGACCCTATTAATGTCAACATGACAACAGGGTTGCCATATCTAAACTGTCATTACCCACTGGTAGCCATTTGGACAGGTCGTTGGAATGCCTAATTAAAGGAGCTTGACAAACCGAACACAACTGTCTAAGTCTAAAAGGTCAAACTCCACATAAAAAGAAAATCAAAGTATGTGTCAAACTCGGAATCAGGTAAGGGAATTTTTGCGAGTTACTGGTTGTAACCATGTAAGCGACAAAGCGGTAACTGATAATCAACAGTTTATAATAACCATTGTAAAGTAGTATTTTTTTTTAAATAACCGATTGTCGGTTATTGGTTAGTGAATCAGGTTATTAGGTTAAACCTAATCAAAATAATAACTGAAAATAACCGAATTTTAAACATTAGGTTAACCGGTTATTTGAAATACCGGTTATTTTATCCCATGCCTAGCCCACTGGGTTACCTTTTCTAAAATGTCTGTTCCCACTGACAGCATTTTGGCAGGTCGTTGGAATGCCTAATAGTCATGTTATGCGTTTTTGGATCTTCCCAGCTCGCGACACCGACATGTTTCTTAATAGTATAAAGTATAAAATGAAAAATCGAAAAATCAAAAAAGCAAGAGCTCAATAATAGGATGTTTTACTGCCAAGGAAGTAGATGGAGTACATTTTGAACAATCATTATAAGAACTAGTTCTTGAATTTTTATTAGTTAAAAGCAAAACTTAAATTTTAGTGTCTTTTTATTTTATCAAAAAATCACCATAAATCCAAATATGATTAGTACACTGATCTGTATTATTTTACTGGATAGGATATAGGCTATATTTAACATACTAAAAAACCGTTCCACCAAGAAGACCGGAAGTGCAACAATGCTGGCCGATTTGGGCAAATTATGGTGGGTTCACAGAACTGAAATTTTGGATAATTTGACATACCTAACCTATAATTTGATTAGTTTTTCTTCTTATTCTTCTTCTATTCCTTTTGCGGGCGATGTCCTTCTGGAAAATTCACCCATGATTTGATTTTTTATGAAAGAAAATATAAAAATCGAAACGTTAAGCATATTGTGTCTTCAGGAATGAACGTTTATTGTTTATTTCATACTCTTTTTACTTTGTTTTCCACAATAAAAACATCTCATCGTAGCTTGTTGACACAATTAAATGACAAATGTGATGACAAATGGAAATAGAGGTTACGTTAAATAACATCCGGTCTGACATATTATTTGCCCAAATCGGCCAATTTTTCGGAACGTTTTTTAGGGGGCTATATCCTATCCAGTAAAATAATACAGATCAGTGGATTAGTACGACTAAATAGGTATTTTAAATACCTTTCAAACGAGGTATCACTTGCCATAAGATCCCATTTAATAATATTGGTTCCAGTCGCCTTATGACGTCATCGATGACTATTACGTCACCTGTTACCAATAGTAGAGAAGCTTAGATGTAGTGGATTATCTCATGAACGATGCAATACTGCACGAATGTACAGGTTGTTTGTAAATTCGTGCAGTTTTGAATCGTTCATCAGATAATCCACTTACCCTATATTAGTTAATTTTTACCCTCCAAATTTCATCAGTCTAAGTATCACCGTTCAAAAGAGGGGACTTTCGAGAAACACTGTACAACGATTCCGATTGTCAGATCGACTTAGAGCAGCAATGGTGCCGACATGCCCATTACCACCGTCCTAAACTGCAAGATTACCTAATTGTTTTTTATCTTTTTTTTAGGTGTGCCCTCCGGTTTAAATAGGTACATTCCTCAATCATTAGATGAAGTTTTGGAATGGGAACTCATCTCAAAAACCTTATATACTCATAGAGATTCTAATCCTCGAAAAAGGATAGGGTCGTCTTTAAAAGAAGGCTTAGGTGATGTAGTTAGAGAGGTAAGCAACGATTCCTTTAGATATGCTATTTTTAAATAAATTAGATGATAAACTTGTTTTGGTCTATTTGAATTTTTAACCTGTTCCCACTTACTTTGATTACTATACGGTGCAAGAGAGAGGTCCGACAGGCCCAACATAGGGCGCGGCCATTTTGATTCCTATGCCACAGTTTATAGCTAAAGAATTAGATCGCTCACTCTGCGTCGGCACTTTTGATCTTAATGTTCCAGTTTATACACTGGACAACTCGGATAATACAATATATGACAACCGCCTATAATAAAACAACAGTCTTCTGCGTATCCTGAATTGGTATCCCTGGAGTGGATGTTATTTTGGAACTTTCAACTGGTCCGAGTGAGCTAACTGATTCTTTAGCAATAAACTGTGACTGCAAAAATAATATTTACTGACACTGACAGCAGCAAGCAAAATATCAGGTGCGTTTTAATCATCCGCTTCTGCTTCCGGAATTGTCGGTATAGTCGTTTTAACTTGTCAGATTAAAACAAGAAAACCGACAATTCCGAAGCAGAAGCGGATGATTAAAACGCACCTATTAAAAATATTGCGCCAAGATGTAGGCAACACGTAATAAGGGATCAAAATGGCGGAGTTTTAAAAGGCACTCAGAAAGCTGCGCAGTACGACCATTCTCCGTATAGTAAAAACAAATCAAAGTATGTGCCTGTTTCTCTATAACTTCATGTTTATACAGGGTGGCCCATTAGTGCGAGAAAGTCCAATATCTCTTATTGTAAGAAATATAAAATAATAATATACTCTCGCGAAAATCCGACTTTATTCTTTGTTTACTACCTTACTCGCGATGTGAAGAAAAGCTACCGGAGAGATCGATGGGCGGCGGCTGCGTCATAGAGAAAGAGTTCCCGGACGTTCTAGATCGCCGAAAAACTACTAGTACAGAGCTGGCTTTATATAAATAGCGCGAGTTTGTCGGAAGACGGGAAGTTTCAATACAAGTGTTGGATAGTAAAGACAAATTGTAATAAATAAATTAGAATTGTGAGTTATAATAGTGCCATAAATTAATTAGTACATTATAACTAAATTATAAATAAACCTTTTAATGAATGCTGACAATGGCTCTGGTATACAAAAAGCAAAAAAGTTCTTATCCTTCGAGTAAAAAAAAAAGGTCGTCCTCCTCTTCCTAAAAAGAGGGGTTTAGCTGAACAAAAAAATCCTCCTCGTCTTGCCGAGCTTCTAACAAACAACAGCTAATATATTTTTGAAGTCACAAGGACATTTTGCTTCAAACAAGAACTGTCCTTTTCAAAAAAGGACAGGTGGCAACCCTATTTTTAATTAACTATTTTTAAATTAAACAATCGTTACATTGGTGTTAGAAGTGGAACTGTAAATAGTGGACAAAAATGGCTAAAAAAATGTGATTTAAAAGTGTCTGAGTTGCGTCAAAAATTAAAGGATCGTGATCTGGAGACAACAGGTAAGAAAGCTGAACTGGCAGAACGACTTAAAAAAGCACTAAAAAATTAAGGTTTGCATTCGGAAACGTATCTATTTTCTGATGATTCAACTGCCATAATTTCTTCCGATATGGTAAGTAAGATCTCTTCCTTAAAACCGATATTTCTTCTGATGCTTGTGATATGGCCACGAACACTTAGATCATTTATACCACTCACAATTAAAGAATCGCAAACAGAAACGAGACGAGACTATTCAAGAGTATGAAGTAGATATTGCCAGGTTGGTGTGATTTGCCTACCCATCAGCTCCAGACACATACTTTGATTTTCTTTTACTATACGGAGAATGGTCGCACTGCGCAGCTTTCTGAGTGCCTTTTAAAAGGAGATAGAAAACTCCGCCATTTTGAACCCTTATTACGTGTTGCCTACATCTTGGCGCAATATTTTTAATAGGTGCGTTTTAATCATCCGCTTCTGCTTCGGAATTGTCGGTTTTCTTCTTTTAATCTGACAGGTTAAAACGACTAAACCGACAATTCCGGAAGCAGAAGCGGATGATTAAAACGCACCTTATATTTTGCTAGCTGCTGTCAGTGTCAGTGAATATTATTTTTGAAGTCACAGTTTATTGCTAAAGAATCAGTTATTAAAATTTAGGAATTTATTCGACGGTATCGTGACATTTTTGTACCAAAAGGAGGAAAAACCGGAAAAACTTCTGTTCTAAAACATAAAATTGACACTGGTGACGCCAGGCCGATTCGTCAATCAGATCGAAGATTACCAAAGGCAAAGAGAGAAGAAGCTGAAAGGATTATTCTGTAAATGAAGAAAGACAAGGTGATAGAACCTTCTATCAGCACATGGGTCTCTCCGGTAGTTCTGGTACAGAAAAAGTAAGGAACTACGAGTTTCTGTGTGGATTACCGTCAGTTAAACAATGTTAGCAAAATAAGACAGTTATCCTCTGCCTTGAATCGACGATACCTTGGACAAATTGGCCGGAAGTAAACTATTTTCTACCTTAGACTTAAAGTCTGGATATTGGCAGGTGGACATGGACCCAGTAGACAAAGAAAAGACAGCTTTTACCACCGGATCTGAACTGTGGCAATTCAATGTCATGCCATTTACAGTTCATCAAATTTCTAGAGGCTTTCGACGGCTAGACAGAGAAAGCACTACTGACAGGCATCCCGACGGATTTACGCAATGAAAGCACACTCTGCGCATCAAGTATTTCACTATTTCATTCAGACGTAAATGTCAGATGTAAATTTCGCTAAAACATTTCTTTTATTTTCGTTTGTTTTTTGCTCATTACAGTTTAATAGAACCTAAGTATGGAGTTTAATAGCAAATTAAGAGGCCGGGTGATTAACAGTCAATCTCGCGAAATAATAGCCAATGTTATAGAGTTTATGAGAAGAGAAGGAAACTTTAATTCACCTTCAATACCATTTAAAAATGTAAATGATCGTGTTGCTGCAGCCACAGGAGTATCTAAAAACACTGTCGTCCGCATTTCTGGAGAGAAAAAAAGAATCGATAACCGTGAGATATCGGAATTTTCATCACCAAGAAAAACCATTAAAAAACCAAAAACAGTTAATGATATAGATGAAGCTGCACAAGAATCAAATTTTATTTTTTTATTATTAGATAGCTATTTTTGTTTCTGAGTTGTGTTCATTTACAGGCTCAATTTTTTTCCGTTTCTTCTTTTTGATTTTATATGGGGTTTCAAGTTGTTTTTGACTTATATCGACGTAAATCACAACAACACACTTTTTTAATAAAGCAAACAAGTGTTAAGAGGTATATGTACGTGTAAACTACAATTACAAAAATTTGATATGAAACCCATGAAACCACCAACAAAAATGTAAAGCTAGCTTGCGTACTAGAACATGGTGTCATTCGTCGAGATAATTTATCGTTTTGTTTAATAGATCAAGAAATGTAAATATTCCACTGTTATTTTTTATAAAATTATAAGAGAAATAAATTTTTTTCTAAAGAGTATAGTTTATTTTGTAGAAAAACAAAATTTCGAAAATTTTAGTAATGTTTCAGAAACAACCGTTATTAATAATAGGTACCATTTTCCTTAATGAGGTAGAAATAAAATATAAACTATTTCCACGATTTACAAAGGCCTACAAAAAAATTATAGGTATTTTCCGCTATCCTATAAAATTTATATTTTCTGACTCAATTTCAAAAGGTTGAAGGAATTCCAAAACACCTTTTATGGCATAATAATTATTTTCAATTCTACATACTATCTTTAGCTGCTTTTAAAAACGTTCTAAGAAAGTCCAATCAGACCAATTTAATCCCTAAACTATTCCACACTTTTAAAATTTAATTACCTAAAAGTATTAAAAACTATTTAAAATGACTTGTTTAGCAGACTGTACAATAGCTATCTTAGTCACACGTAGCGCGTTCTCTGTCTGGGCGTCGAACACCTCTAGAAATTTGATGAACTGTAGACTTAGGGAAAATGTTTTGAGAGGGTTATCCTGGAAAACATGCCTGGTGTATTTAAACGAAAACATAATCTTGGGGAAGACCTTTGATAAACGTCTAAAGAAGATATTTTTAAAAGACATTGATGCTAAAACCCATGTCCTTTAAAAAATGCAGAATAGGTACAATCCTATTCATCACCCTACAATTTCATAATCATACATTCATTCGTTCCAAGGAAAATGCCTTGTTGCCAGACTTTTTCGATAGCCTGCATATGTGTAAAAAAATCTTATTTTTGCATTATTGTCAAATTTAGCAACAAAAAAAAACGTTTTTGTTTTGTTTTTTAGATTATGGAACTGATTAATTCATACTCAAAGCAAAGAGGCAGGGTAATAGATTTTAAGGAAATATTATATGGCTATTGGAGATTAGATCCCGTATATGGAGTAGACTTAATTTTAGATTTACTGTTAGTTTATAGAAAATATAGGGGACACAAAATGACTGTACAAGTCAGACGTCACGCTTATGTCCAACAAACGTTTACAGGTAAGAAAAACAAATATTGTTGTTATGATATTTTTTTGTAAATATGTAGGTATACAGTTCTTCATAAATGCATTGACTATAAAAATGGTTCCTAAAATAATAACCATAGTTCCTGAACTAAGACATATCTTGCTAAATGTGAAACTGTTTTTAAATATTTGAATGTTTATATTATGTTAAAATTTATTTATGAAGATGTGTTATAACATAATATACCAAGTAATGTAAAATTAAAATCTCAAATCTTCTCGGATATTCCACAAGGTTCGTATGTAGGGCCTCTTATTTTTATCCATTTCATAAATGATATCAGAGATAACAGGAGATATAACTACTAACAAATATCGTGTGGTCCTGAATAAGACATATTCTAAGGGACACATGAGGGTATAATATCCGCTGTTGTCATATGCCTGTTTCATTATTCTCGTTTTGTTTACAAAATTATTTACATATATTAAAAAGCTAAAATAATTCGACCTATTTTATTGCAACTGAACCCAAAAATTTTTGAATCATTAGTTATATCAAATTTAATAAAAATTAGATGTAATTTCACTAAATTAAATGTAATAATTTTCAATAAATTCCAAAACCTACTGTTAAGTTGGAAGTGGCAACAGGGCATACACCGACATGGGTATCTACGTTGTTTATTATAAGAGCACATCGCTTACATATTTATTCATTGATAAAATAAAGTTGTATCTTCGTAAAATCCTTCTCTTTATCCCCTCTCTTACATTTCACCTTTCGTCTCCTCGCTGCAGACCTACAAATGAAGCGTATTGATTGTGGAATTAATCTTGGCATCATGAATGGTTATATCTCTGTTATCTCTGAACGATATCCACGAAAATTTTAATTGGACTATCCCTTAGTGTATTGTATCTCATTCCAAATAAATACACTACTACAAATTAGTTTTTGCTTTTTTAGGGATTTTCGTAAGAGAAATCGAAGACTACCAACATCACAACCAAAATCTAGTCAACTCCGACTCTTTACCAGTACATAAAAAAATCGTAAACCAGATATTTTCGAAAATTAACGAAAAACTTCAACCGCTGTTGAGCTACTACAACCCCGAAGAGGCTTACATCAATTTTATACTACCGTTAAGCGGTCGATATCGGATTTTCGAAAGATTCATTAAGATATACGAGGAAGTTTGCCTGAAACGGCACAAGAGTACGAATTTGTATATAGTGTTGTACAGAGATAAGGAATCGCCGGAAGATTTCGAAAAAACCACGCTGCTCGCTGACCGTTTGGCGGAAAACTACCCTTATTATGTTATCAAAGTGATCGCTGCCGATCAGACGTTTTCCAGAGGCGGGGCATTGCAGTTGGGCATCAACGAGCTACAAGAAGACAGTTTGATGTTGTTCATCGATGTTGATATGGTGTTCGATGACAGCATGTTGCTACGCATTCGACACAATACCGTCCAAAATAAGAAAGTATATTTTCCCATTGTGTATAGCTTGTATAATCCGAAATTTCTTGATGGAAATTACAGTGAGGAGATGTGGATGGATTCCTTGCATAGTAAGTTGACATTTTTCCTAATCATTTTTTATGGTTCCACCTTTAGTTCAGTCTTCTACAAACCCCTATTGAACATTAATTGGCTTCATTATAGTTTAGTGGATGAAATGTGGAGATATCAGACCACTTTGATAACATGTCTATAGAGTTCTTTGATCAGGGAGACGTTGAAGAAGCCTCTGAAGACTCGAAGACGAAGAAAATGAGCTGAATGAGTGATGTATACACCATCTTCAGTTCGAGGAGACGAAGAAGTCTCTGATGATTAAGATAAGAAGTGAGCTGAAGGAGTGATGTAGGACTAGAGGAGACGTTCAAGAAGATTCTGGCGACTGTAAGACGAAGATGTAGGATCTTCTTTTGTTCGAAGAGGCGAAGGAACCTCTGAAGACGAAGAAGATGAGCTGAGGGAGTGATGTAGGACCAGAGGAGACGTTGGATAAACCTCTAAAGACACGAAGAAGAGCGACCGAAGGACTGAAGTAGGACCATCTTCGGTTGGAGGAAACGTTGATGAAGCCTCCTTTTCCTCTTCGTCGATTGTCGCACGTCACTCATTCGTCTTAAAAGAACTCCATGGTCCTCCCATGTCAATCCTACGTCTGAAATAATTCGATGTTCCATCTTCAGCTTCTCTTCTCCGTTTTCGAGTCTCTAGAAGCCTCTTCGACGTTTCCCTGAACATGATAATTCGATGTACATGTGGTCTGATGTTTCTACATTTCACCTACTGATTATTTAATGATAATAGCTTTTTCAGAACCTTTCAACGACACGAACGGTTTTTGGCGCCAATTCGGCTTCGGCATAGTCAGTTTGTACAAGAGCGACTACAACCGCTTGGGCGGATTCAATCTAGAAATAACCGGTTGGGGAAACGAAGACGTAACATTCTACGACAACGCTGTCAAATCAGACTTGAAGATAGTGCGCAGCGTGGATCCCGGCCTTGTACACATCTATCACTCGGTTAAATGCGATTACGATCTAGACGCGGATCAGAAAAACATGTGTTTAGGGACTAAAGCCAGCACTTTAGGCTCGCTGCGTCAGTTGCAGAAATTATTTATTAAGTACAAGGATTTGTTTAGGTAGCATTATCAGATTTTTGTCTTTCTTATATCTATTAAAAAGACTAAATGGTTAAAATTGTAAATTCTATTTGGAAAATCACCGGAAAGTTTGTTTCTACGTTTCTATTTTGTACTATTACGTGATATTTTCTTCTTTCATTACAATCCAGTTTGTTTTCAGGATTCGTATTCTCCAGTCACAAGTTTAATGTTCTAGAGAACCACGTGGGATTCAAAAATACGATCTTTCATTTTTTTATTTTTGATTCCTTTAGAGATGTTTCTTTAGAAAACAGTCATTGTTGCTGAGGGTAAATTCAAGTAGCCTAACTGTTTTAGTCATCTGAAAAAACATTTTCTGTAAAATTAATATTTTAAAAGTTATAGCTCCGCAAAATTTTTAATTTGTACTTTTAACATGTACGCATGTCATGAGTCATGACCACTGATCTGTATTATTTTACTGGATAGGATATAGCCCCCTAAAAAACGTTCCGAAAAATTGGCCGATTTGGGCAAATAATATGGCGGACCGAATGTTATTTAACGTAACCTCTATTTCCATTTGTCATCACATTTGTCATTAAATTGTGTCAACAAGCTACGATGAGATTTTTATTGTGGAAAACAAAGTAAAAAGAGTATGAAATAAACAATACACGTTCATTCCTGAAGACACAATATGCTTCACGTTTTCATTTTTATATTTTCTTTCATAAAAAATCATATCATGGGTGAAATTTCCCGAAGGACATCGCCCTCAAAAGGAATAGAAGAAGAATAAGAAGAAAAACTAATCAAATTATAGGTTAGGTATGTCAAATTACCCCAAATTTCAGTTGTGAACCCACCATAATTTGCCCAAATCGGCCAGCATTGTTGCACTTCCGGTCTCCTTGGTGGAACGATTTTTTAGTATGTTAAATATAGCCTATATCCTATCCAGTAAAATAATACAGATCAGTGGTCATGACATGTAAAACACGAGGATATAATAATTGATAGTAATATTGTGCTTTTGGCAAATTTGTAATACCAATATGGCGGAAGTCAGGTAATAGTAAAAAAGAGCTACTTGTATAGTAGATTTACAACTATTTTTTTCTTTATAATTGGTTACTATTCAACTATAGTACATTTTCTAGTACATTATATAGATAGATTAGAATTTAAGAATTGAAATTGTTGTCTGTGATTTTACTGTTTATATTATTTTGCTGCCTTCAATTTATACTTTTTACTCATCCATCACATGTATAATATTATTAAATATATTTTGACATACAAAATCAACAATCATAATTTATTTATGAAATGAAGTGCAATTTGCATAAAAAAATTTAGATATATATTTTATCGAAATAATAAAGTAATTTTTAATACCACTAGCCATTTTTGTAAAAATGATGAAACAATTATATTTACCTAAGAAAAGCAGATTTGGTTTGCAAGAAATAATAAAAAACCATGATGAATCTACGATTTTTATTCATTTTTAATATAGAAAAATTTAAATTACGGTTAAAGGTTGATTAATTTTAGTTTGTGTTAGTTGATATTACAATTATCAAAAGTCTTATCCAATTTTCGGTAATTATCGAGAAAACAATTTTTTGAGAATAATAAGTACCTATCTTTATTGTATAAATTTTTTAATGTCAGCTCTCACATACTAACTGTTAAACCTAATATAAAAAATTAAATAACCTTTGGATCCTAAAAACGTTATTTAACAGTGGATTTTATTTGTTGCACTAGGTGTAAGTTTACTAAACTAATCGGATTTGATTTATTCAGTGTAGCTTCAAATATTTGACACATACTTGAGTGTGGCATATACTTTTGACAAGTGTGCCAGTTTAAATACAGTATCGAGTGTAACACTAGTGCAACAAATAAAATCCATTATGAGATTTGAGACATTTTAATTGGTGTCTTGACGTTTGACAGTAGTGACTGGTGACACGCTGACACATGTCAAATGTTGTTTATTTTCATTTATGTAAAAAAATTAATTATGATATATTTATTCAGCTATATTCTTGTCCCAGAAATTATTATGGATAACCTAACGACCTAAAATTTTAATATTTTCGTATATATGCATTTACTTTTGTCTATTGTCAAACAAAGTTCCTTCCTGTATTGCCATTTTTTTTTTAAATATATATGTAAAGATTTTTAGTTAGGTATGTAGTTAATTGAGTAACAAATTGTAAATATTTTATGAAAAACTTTTGTTTTCATTAATGGTAATAAAATTTTTGTATTTATTTGTATTTTATTTCGATTGATGAAAGGTCACTGATATTGACATCGTGGACATTTAGCAACGGTGGTTATCATACTATTATGATTAGAAGAGAAATAACTAAGCAGAATGTCATTCTTGGATCGGTTTCGTTCTTATTAGGACTCGTCATCAAGTAATATAAACTTCTGATCCAGGTCTCTAATGGAATCTGTAGTAGGTAAGCAAAATTAAAGTTAAAATGTTGAATATAATTCACTATCTGCTATTTTTATTTGTTGTAATTCAGTACCTGCTGTTCCGGTATTAGCCAAAGGAATAGTTGTTTTCAAAAGAGAAACGGTCGCTCGTATTATTGTGACATATGGCTTCGAGCAAAATCTTCTGGGACCGGAACATAAATCCGACGTCCAATGGACGTTCTAACGTTCCGTTTTCATCCATCTTGGGATGTCCCAAAGGGATGTCCCTGGGATATCCCAAAAGGACTTCATAGGGACCTTTACAGGACGTCCTAGAGACGTAAATCAGACGTCCGAGGGATTACATTTGAGCATATTCCATAAGGGGTAATATAAAAACAAAAATGTTAACAATAAAAGGTTTTTAACAACTTTTATCCTGATCTAGAGAAGATAAACGTTTTCAGTTTACAAAAAAAAAAAAAATATAAATATGCTATAAAATATAAATAATTCAATTTAACACACAGTGCTGGTAGGATGAAATCTTGGGTTCTGCTTATATCTTGTGTCGACATAACTGAGTTTTATAATTTTGTCAAATTTAGGTTTGTTCCAACGCAGTACTTACTTTCTGCCATTGAAATCTTTTCTTTCCGCCAGCGCTATGGCCAACACAAATCACTTATTCTCACTTAATCACAAAACGCTCACTTCACTTTATAACCCAAGGGTCAGGATCATCATCGTCTTATATAGCTTGCTTTTACATTCCCGATCCTTCCCAGGCAGCAGACTGACGTCATTATGACATCTTATTTTCGTCATACAGGACGTCATTTATCCTCAGAAAACTAACGTGATAATGACGGTAAAATAACGTGAATATGTCACAGCCTAAATGACGTCATATTTAGCCGCCCTTTTCACGTCTAATTATGACGTGTTTATGACGTTGTTTTAATGTCACCTTTGTCGTTATTCTTGCTGCGTTTGAGAATCCACATCGGATGCATCTGAGATGTAAAAAATATTTGATCACGTGATTCATTATACGTAAATGTAATGGGACAGATGTGTCCGATGTGAATAAAAAAACGCTCGAGAGGTAAAAAATGCACCCGATGTGGATTCTCAAACGCAGCATCTTTATACTTATTTGAGAAGTCACTATGACGTTACATTTGATATTGTTACTCCTTTGTAACTTTTCTATAGGAACTGTGGGTCACTTAATAAAACAAAATTAGAAAATGAAATAATTATAATTAAAAAGAAAAAAAGTTTAAATACATGAAATGTTATTGGCAAAAAACATTAATTTATATAAATCTAACTGCTCCAAATGTGGCCAACTTGTTCGTTATTATTTTGGTTTGGCACAATAAGTGCCGCCATTTTATACTATTTCACGAACCTGGGAATATTTTAGGAAACATCCTATGAATGTAAAAGATATAAAAGCATTAAAGAATAAGGATAATATAGATATAAAAATACCTTATGCTGGGTTGATACTGATATAACTTTTTTCACTGGGAGCTACGATCCACGATGCACACACAATTACACATGGCCGATGCAACAATTTGCGATACCGTTCTCGTGCTTGCTCGAACGGTTCGAACACACACGAGCCATACTCCACAGACCGATAACCATAGACAGACGCAGTCATGTGTCACGTGGTGTCATCAGTCTTTATGCATTTAAGCGCCAGATTAAAACGTTAATAGACCTCACAGTTTTAAAAAATAATTGTTTAGGCCATATTATTTTACATAAATAAAATGTATTGAAATCACGTTTAATATAAACCTTAATTTAATAGTGACAATAAATTGACGTCATACTGACGTCGAATTTAAGACGTCAAAAAGACGTTAAAGAAGTGACGTTATAATCACCTCATTTTTTGGTAACAAGACGTCGATGACCAAGAATTACCAAAAAATGTCGTCAAAATGTCGTCAGCCTGCTGCCTGGGTTCTAAAACTGTCCAGAATTTTCTTGACGCGGAATTACATTTCTCGAATATTCCCTTATTTTTTTACTCGTACCTTTACTTATGACGATCGCAGCACGGTGCGTAATATTGCTCCCTCCACTCTAGTTATTCGCCTCGGATAACTTGATTACTGGGACCTGGTTGGAGCCAACAGAGAGGATCTGGACCATGATATGACGTTAACTTTTCATTGTAAACTACCTTGGGTTTACTTCCCGCCGACAGCTGAATGCGGTAAATCAGGGATTGCACAACCTTACTGGATCGCCTCTCTCAAAATGTGTCTATGTGGCACGCCTATCCATTCTAGCTTCTGCTTTTTCGCTGTTGGCTTTTAGTCGTTACCGAGCGGACCCATAGACCTTTGTCCTGCCATTGCATACATCACATTTTTTACACCAATCCGTTACCCCGTCGGCAATTGACCTAATAAAATCTTTCTCGAACTCGTGCCAGTGTCCTTTTAGTACCAAAATGTCCTCCGGAACGGCTACAATGAGGCTCCTCCAATTCATTTCTGACATGTTATTTCGGCAATACCCCTTGGCAGGCTACATGCACTCCATTGGGGCTCTTTCACTTCCGGTGCAATAGGCCATCGTGGAGATACAGGGAATCCAGTACCCTTTTATAGTTCCACTGTATTTTGGCTATCTCTTGTCAAGTAGGTGTGACTTTATTTTTGAGCCATTCTCGGACATTGTCTTTCTTCTGTCCCTTTCTCAGGCTTTCAATGGTGATTTCTTCTTCGTCGACCTCTCTGGCTTGATAGTGGTTGCCCGAAGAGAAACTTTGTCAACCGGTTCCTCTCGATCTTCAAACTTTTTAACGTACCGGCATTGTCCTTCTAAACAGGGTCGCCTGGAGAGAATGTCTGCGTTGCTATGGAGACTTTTTTGATGCTCTACTTTCTGGTTATTGCTAGAAAGCCGGCTCGGTATGGGTGATTGGCTTCTTCGGGACGCGTAGCTGCTGTAATTATTTCTTCTTGGACTTCGTGACGGACTTCGGAAGATTGATCTATATGACTTTCCGGCCTCATTTTCTGATTCTCGATTTATAGAATGAGCCATGCTTCTACAGGTTCGTTGAAGGTGTCCGATTCTTCCGCAATTGAAGCATCTCCTGCTTCCATTTTGGCTTTTCGCTACATATTTTGTAGGATATATAATAGGGTAGGTTGGTGAATAGCATTAGTATTGCCCTACTTTCCTACTTCCTCTCACTTTTGCGCAAGAAGATCTGGATATGAGTTTTACCGCTTCATATTCCCTTGCTGCAATCCGTTTTTCCCTCAGCGTCTTGTGATGTTGTATACGAAGGGATTGCTGCATTTCCACATCTTGTAGTCCATCAATGAATGCCTGTATGCCGACTTGTTCTTGGCAATCTTCGGGCGCCTGTGGACAGGCCAGATAAATCAATCGTTTTTATATCGGCCTCGAATTCCTGCAGACTCATTATGTTTCTGGCTACGAACCTTTAGCTGGCTTTGGAATACTTGTTTCAAATGCTGCTGTCCATATTTTGTTTCCAAGGCTTAAACGAGAGACCAGGCATTATTTTCAATGTTGCTTACCAAAGCTTGGCTACGAATTCTTCTTTCTAATTCTACCATTTCAGCTCTAATTTTCCTTTCTAACTCTACTCTTGTTGTACTTCCTGTTGTTGTTCTAAATTGGTTAAATTCTGTTGCTCTAAATGAGTTTTTAGATGCTCTTGTTTTTGCTCCAAATTAGCTTTTAACTTTTCTTGCTGTTGTTCTACATTAGTTTTTAAAATATCTTCTTGTTGGGCCAAAAGATCTACTCTATTTTTAAGCTGAAGGTTTCCTGGATTTGTAGCAAACCGTTCATAATTTCAATCGCTTCTTTTCTACGCCTCTCCTCCTTCTCCTCTTCTTCGTCCTTCCTGTATCGTTCCTTCTCCACTTCTTTGTCCTTCCTACGCCTTTCCTTTTCCTCTTCTTTCTTTTTCCTCCTCTTCTTCCTTCCTTCTTCGCCATTCCTTTTCCTCTTCTCGCCATAAAACTAAAAACTGACGACAGGATCATCGACTTATATAACTTGTTTGACCCTTCTCGAACTGTCCAGATTTTTCTTGATGTGATTTGATGACATTTCTCGAATATTTCCCCTTCTTCTTTTACGCGTACCTTTACTTATGATGACCGCAGCATGCTGCGTAACATTATGTATGGAACAAGAATTATAGAAAATAATATAACAACTTTTATTTGAACAATTTTCTTAAAAAATTGAATTTTTTACATTTTGTAAAATTTCTAGAATACGGACCATTTTAGGAAAATTTTGGATGGAACAAAAATTATAGAGAATAATATATAAGTAACTTTTATTTGAACAATTTTCTTCTCCAAACGTAAACAAGATATATTCTATAAAATATAAAAATGACTCCCTATAAGGTACCCCCCTAGATGTTCCGACTCTGCCCAAAATCTAATATGTTCACCGTAGGCCACAGTAAGGCTTAAGTTTGATGTTTCGTGTTTTTCATTGTATCCGTTCATGAGTTATCGAGGATACAGATACACATACACAGACTTCATCGCGAAAATAATCAAAACGGATTCAGCAGACCCCAAAACGTAAAAATCCGTCGAGAAATTGAGGTCGAAAAATCATGATTCCTATACTTTTCTTATTTGTATACAGATAAGAAAGTAAAAAAGGGAAAGAAAACGCAAAATCTAGTCATAATTTTTATTGAACAATAAATCTCAAAATATAATCTTCTCTATAGGTAACTTTCATCATTTCCGTTATAATCGTATATTTCGAACCATCCTCAGTAAAATTATTAAAGCAGTAATTATAATATATTATAAAAACACCGATATTGGTCCAATATTCTCAACAGGAAGTAGTAGGTAATTGTTTCAACATTAAGGCATCATTGATAAATATCAAAAATGTTTTCAGACAAGCGGTATCATCACCGCTAATAATGATCACGTGTGTACTAATTCCACTACATTTCAAAATTCCAATTTCTTTCCTTTCGAATCCACGCACCAATTTTATTCAACATTGAGATACGGTTTGCTGTTTTCAATCTTAATCAACCTTCTAGCATCGACTTTTCCGGAGCACATCGGACAATTTATCTCCTTTCCGTCGCAAATTCGAATGAACTCGCTCCTCACAGCTGGAAAATCACATTCTGGACAAGCAGTCAAATCAGAAGTTATAATATGTCTACCAGTCACTATACAGAAAGGAATATTGTTTTTGCAGCTATTGCACGTCGTATCAGTCTCTGGTAACATGTTATCGCAGTACGGACAAGCCGTCAAATCCTCAACTGGATCAGTAATAATTTCCCCATCTTTATTTCTCGCCGGTTTCCTAATCACCGCTTCAATTTTCTTGCTGTACTTCGGATCGATGTTTTTCCGATACTCCGGATTCATCAAAGTCGTTGCGTACTTATAAGCCACTTGCTTCAAACCAGATCGATGGCATTCGATGACCGTCGACGTCAATATGGGGACGATATGCGACGGGAATTTCGAAATATTAATAGCGACTCTCATCAACATTCTAGCAGCTTTGAGATGTTCCCCTCGTCTGACGTGCAACTTCACCAAGATGTAACTGTGTAACAGCATCAAATTCGCGTACATTTCGAACGGAATCTTAATTCCGTTCTGTTTTAACTCCTGACACATGGCGTAAAGAATGTCGTGGGCGTTCCTGTAATTCCCATTAATCTGTTCTTCGTTGGCTATGATGACGGCGGATTTAGATGCTTCTCTGAACTGTTTCTTAGCCATGTACAATCTGAATAAATATTTTGGATCTTTTGGAACTCCGTCAGTCTCTCCTAACAAGAACTCTATCAGCGCGTTAACTAGAGATGTATCGTTAGAAGCAGCAACCACGTCTATTGCTATAGTAAGAGCTTCTTTCTCTTTCGAATTAGATTTGGCTGATTTTAACAGAAACTTCATGGCTTTCTGATAATCTCTGGAGTGGAACCAGTATTTCCCGGCTAACAAATAGTTTTTCTCAGCTTCAAAATAATTAGCAACGTTCACGAAATCCTGCGGTTTAATATCGTCTTCAGTGAAAATATCCAATAAAATATCGCCGTATAATAGTACTTTCCCGTACTTTTTAGCTAGATCGAAAGCTTCGTCGGTACATTTCGATATTACAAGAAATTTGATGGCCGATGATATATCGTTTAAACCCATGAAGAATTTAGCAACCATTTTAGCTCCTTCGATGCTTTTGGTTTCCTGTACCAGTTCGACAGCTATTTCTGGGTTGTTTAAATGCTCCAAATGCAATCTGATGACGGAATCGTAATCTTTAGCCTTCTGGTAAGCCCAAACGGCTTCTTCTATCTTATTTTCGCCTTCTTTAGCTTTGGCGTATTGCAAGAGGGTCTTCGTAGAGTTGATATTGGGAAGTAGTTCACCGACTTTGGTCCAATTTTTCATTCTGATATAATTCGACGCAGCCTTCTCGTATTGATGGCATTTTTCGAACAAAACGGCTGCATCAGTGTACTGTTTCTTCTTATCCAATATGTCAGCGCATTCTCTAAGCAACTGTTTGTTATCCAGTTCGATAGCGATCGACACGCCATGTCTATAATTCCCGCAATATAAGTTCGATCTCGCTATGCCGGCTTTGCAATTGAACGTATGCTCCGCGTTCAAATCCTGCTGCAAACCTTTCTCGTAATGCCTCAGCGCTTCCGAATAGTTGCCGATGAATTCCAGTTGCTGAGCGTACTCCCTGGATATCATCGCGATATCGTTGGGAGCCATTCTTTTCGCGAGATGCAGCGCTTGGTCCCACTGCAACAGATCGCGTCGCATCTCAAGAGCAGCTTCCGGATAACTGGACGCTAAAAACCATTCTTGAGCCTTGTCGTAGTCGTTGAGGTACATTTTTATGTAACCGCACAAAAGTTTGTAATCTTCTATATCGACGATGCTCTCGAGACTCCACACCATAGCCACTGCTTCGATTTCTCGGTAAGCTTGAATCGCTAATTCGATTTCTAGGTGCATCAGAGCGTCTTCGGCGGTTTTTTGAAGCATTTCTTTAGATTTCAACAACCGACTTGTTTCTAGAGCGGAATGAAATCGATGCAAAGCTAATTGTTTCTTATAATTCGTTTCCAATACACTCTGATCCTTTTCGTTGAGTTCTACATGCGCGGTATCGTGGGTCGACAGCATAAACTGCGTCAATTGCCCTCCGGAAGTTGCCGAAGTAATTTCGCCGGCATACATCAGTAGAGGTATTTGCTTGGAGACTAGCGTGGTGTGTCCAATCATCTTCACGCAGGCGCCTTCAGTAAATCTGTTGACGTAAACGTAAGTGTAAATCTCGTGTTCATCGTAGACTATAAAAATGTTTCTATCCGAAATGTTGTTGTCCCAAATTACGCCAAGTATCTTATTCGGTAGATTCGGAATTGGTAAAACTTCGCTGACAGCCGCGTTAAAGACGTAACCTTTAGTTTTTATATCGAGGAACACCAGTCTGGTACCAGCTGGGTCTACATAAATATCAGTAACTCCGATAACATGTTTATATTCCAGTGCTTTCGACCATTCATCCACGTGAAAATAAACTATGCTGCCCATATCACTTGCGTATATCAGAAAATCTGCTGTAAGCTCATGGGAGGTAATCACAACTGAATCGTTCGTTTCATCCGGAAAGCTGATGGAATCTTTTTCTTCTTGGTGCGCATCGCCGGATTCGAGCAACTGCAACTGCAATCGTCCTTCAAACAAAACAGACACGTATTCTTGGTTTAATTTGACACTTGTAATCGCTCCTAAGTACTGGCGTTCTCCTAGTTTTAAAGGCACGTCTGGAGCGCCGATTTGAGTCTTCGTCAAACTGTAAAACCAAATATTATTGTTCATTCCAGCCGCAAAATGGAATTGTCCTACGGCTACGAAGCTGGGTTCGATTTCTAGAGCAACAGGGGTGGCTATTAACTTGGATTTATCGGAAGTGTAATTGTAAAGGCTTATTTCAGTTAAACTAGATAGCACTGCTATTTTAGGAGCGCATACAGACGTCAGGATGGGCATGTAAGAGACGTAGACGTTGAGCGAACCTCCTCTGGTACAGACTCCTAGAAGTTGACCGTCGTTGCTCCATGATATCCGGTCGATACCTGCAAAGAAAATGTGTGAATGAAAAGGTTCCACAAAATGTATTCTTGATAGATCACGTGACAAATAAAAGGCCAACTAGGTTTTCATTGATGGAATTTCTTAAGAATGAATGATTTGAGAATTTTAGATAAAACAAGATTTGAACAAATTTATTACACGAAATCAGATGACTGTAAAGTAATAATAAAAGTAGCTACTGTAGATCACATAAGTATGCAGTGCGTTAACCGACGTGTCCATCAAAATAAAGATGAGACGCCTACGGTTGCGATTACCACAGTAATGGTGGAAAAATAATGCATGTAATAATATTAACCACCGCCAAGACGGTTATTGAAAAAAGTAAAAATATTTCCTGAACTTTTAATGGAGCTTTAAATAAAACAAAGTTTGAGCTTTATTATGAACATCTTTCATCATAATTCAACGCTAAAGAAGTGATTAAATAATTTTTTTAAGAACAAAATTATCGTGAATAGTTTTTGGATGGCATTTAAATTCATTTTATAATTTTGTAACTAAACTACTTCATCGAATAGCTTATATATTCAAACATCTTGCCTTCAAATATTGGTGTCAAAAAATACTTATTGAAGCCAATAACTAGATTTTACTAGAAATTCTACCATTTTATAACAATAAAGGTATTTTTCGCGGCATAAACCAACATGAACGTTTATGATAGACATGTCTAGATAACATAATCTATCATAAACGTTTATGTTGGTGAAAAATACCTATTAGTCTTCATAACATAAATTTTTGATGCGAGGTTGCCGGTTCTATCGAAATAGAGTTTTCATACATCACAACATAAATAGTGATTTTATTCGTGTCTCTTTTTATATAAAAAATTAGAATAACTATGTTCTATAAATAAATATTTTTTTATTCCGCTTATGTTAGAATATAATATAGAATTTATAATTTATTGGTACTAAATGAACGCTAATATTTTTATTTATTAAACTTGACAACGTTGCCTAGAAGATAAAATTGAGCTACCAAATTACTCTATAAATAGTAAAATTACTAAAAATCTGCCGAGATGCTTGTTGCCAAATGGTTCAAACAGTCGGTCAGAATATTTTTGTTCTGAAATGAACGAGGTGGTATTAACCTTTCAGTTGGACCGCTGTTGAATATTTTGAACTACATTTATAAAGTAAATGAGTATGCTAGCGTTATCTGTGAGCATATTAAAGAACCATGGGAATAAGTGCAACCTTATTTATATTTGGACTTGAGAAGAATAAAGATAGCAACTAATCAATCGCTTATCTGCCTGCCATGATTGGACCCATAGTTACACCTCTACAGGTAATGAGATAGCAAGTATTGCTGTTTTTGTCTATTCAACGGTATTGTTATTCTATACCGTTCTCCTCGAGCCTGGATTGCAAAATTAAAGTATTGTATATTTTTATACTATTATACCTATTTTCTTCAATAAAGTTGTTTTTTTTTTTTGTAAATAAATCCTTACCTGATTCTTGAGCTAACGTTAAAACACTAGAAGTCTCTTGCAAATTCGCCAAATCGTGTATTTTAACAGAATTGTCCCCGCATGAAGCAGCTTTTCCAATAATCTCGCTTATACCAATATCACAAAGCGAATTTTTATGATTCCTTATTTGAAACAACTCCTGTCCCACTTCCTTAATGTGAGTTGATATCGCTATGAAATAACCACCAGAAAAACCCAACAGTATATAACCATCGCCAAACCATTTATATTTAACTATGGCACCGTAATGTGGCTGAAACGCTAGTTCTATTGGGTTATCTGGGTCTAATAGATTATATAGGTACAAAGTTTTCTTTCCCACTAGTAAACTGACTGTATTCTCTGCTCCTAAAATGATTAAAATAGAATAGAAAAGCTTTATTCAGAAATATACACAAAATAAAAGTGAAAGGCATTCCAGATAAACAATATAAAACCAATACAAAATGGTCTAATAAAAAAATCGCATGTTCCATATTGTCTTTAAATCGTCAAAATAGGCAATTTTGTACACATCCAAAAATAGTGTGGAAATATTATCCCACATGCTAATTTCACAATATTTAGCACATTTAGAAAATCATCATATTACCTTTAGTACGAATAAAGAAACACAATCCTAGTTCTTATTTAATTATATAAACTATTAATTATTAATTCAGTCATTAATAAATAAACTGACAATGAAATCTCAGCGTGTGGCGTTGTGTTCCTCGAGGCCGTTTTTCGTGACCAGTATAGCGCCGCATGAGGCGAGGCTAGTCTCATCGTGAATGGCACATTTCATTCACTCTGTCTCACTGAGGTAAGTTATTTCTCTTTTACAGAGAGGTTGAAGTAAGTAAGATGAGTGTGACTAGTAGTAACAGTAATAAAAATTGTGTAATTTGTATAAATATATATTAGGTTCAGCTATACTACTTGCTCCCCAAAACATAATCCCAAATCTCATAAGTTAATGAAAATTTTCAAAATATATAGTTCGCTTGGTTCTAAGTTCTAAATATTTTGATGTTACTCTGAAAATTTTAATCATTTCACAGATGTTTTTCAAAAACTAAGTTTTTGTCTATCTTTTTGTATAATTTCAATAGAAAAAGAAAAGTTACAATACCTTCTCTTTCGTCAGTTTTCATTTGAGAGAAATCTATCTCTGACGGTTCAGCCCTCAGGTTTATCACCCGCAAAGTGTCCCCATCACTATTACTTATTGATACAGTCTTATCATCAGATCCTAAAGCTAATAAATTTTCACTGTTCCAAGCACCACATGTTATCCTTTTTGTATGCTTCCCAATAACAGGAGTTTTCTTTGATGTATTATGATTATAAATAGAGACATTTCCTTTAATAGTTCCAACTGCTAACATGGGAATCTTTTTAGCCCAAACTAAGCATGTCATCGAGTCTTTAAGTCCCACTTCTATTGTAAGTTTCTTGGTTGTGTTTGAGTCCCATAAAATTAATTGTGGAGACTGACTAATAGCAGCTAGTAAATCACCATCACTGTCCCATGAAAATCCAGTACACAGACTTGGTAGTTTTATTCTTTCCTGAATTTCGCCATATCGATCAAAAATGTTTACTACTGAATCAATACCAGTTGTTGCAAGATACATTCCATTTCCTTTTTGCCATGTTATATAAATATCTCCAGTGCCATGTGGTTGTTCCAATCGAAATAGTAGCTTTTCAGTTGCCATTTTCACAATACAATTACAATTCGTTTATTATAAGGTTAAAAAATTGTATTTTAAATATAAGTAGAGCAGTTGACGTGGGTTATCTAAACAATAACAAAAAGTCGTCTCCATAGTAACGTAAGTCATAACAAATTTTGGGGTTATTATTGGTAGTTGCATCGAATATCGAATTGGAACATTTCGAAGGGATGCGCAATGCTTGAAGTTACAAATGTTATATATCAAAAAATGCAATTTGCCAGCAATCAAAAGTTAAATGTGTAATTTCTGTATTAATTTGAAATAATTTTTATGAAAATAGGATTTTTCTCATCTAACGTATTAATTAAAATATTGCAAATTTTCTTAATTTGCGTTACCTTAAACCACCCTAAAAATGGGAGTTCCTTGATACTGTCGACTGGCCGGTTACGTAAATGGAAGGCAGTCACGGCCATTGGCCATTTACACTGACAAACATGATTGAAAACTACACTAAGAACAGTAGTAACTAAAACTAAATTAAATCTATAAAAAATCTAAATTATTGAAAAAAAAGTCATAGATATGCCCAAAATCGCCGTTAATAATTTAAACATAAAATGTTATATTTTAATTCTCATAGTAGAACCATTGTATTTATTAAATATATAAAATTCCAAATACATAAAGTTCTATTTATTTTTAAATTAATTTAAGTAGATTGCCAAATTTAAATTAATATTGTTATAACAACGCTTGAGATGTGATTCCTCGTAAGTATTAAAACGCAACTTTTCAGGAGAGGAGTAAAAATGTATAAAAACGTTTTTTTACACTGGATGATTTACAACTGGAATATTTCTCTATTACAACAAATTATATTAATCTTAACTGACAATAATTAAGCATTGACACGATTTACTTTTTTTTTTAAATGCACGTACGAGGTATTAAGTTTTAAAAATTATATAAAAATGTTGTTACGTAAAATCACTCTTAGTGAGAGGTGCAAAATTAAACCATTTTTGCAAAAAGATTCTTTATTTTAAGAAATACTACACAAAAAAACTCATGAAAACTATAACAACTATTCCATTGTTTCTTAATGTTGAACTCAAATTAAAAAATATAGAACGAGAATTTAACAAAATAATGGCAAGAAAGGTATTCTTTTTATTCTCCCAAATGGGGCAAGTTATCATAAAAAGAGTGACAATCTTTAGGAAGCACAGCCTTCAATTGTTGAAGATGGTCCCATTTTTGTTTCTTAATTTTTAATGGTTTGCTTCTCAATTGTGGAAAGGTCTTGAGGTCAGAAACAGATTTATTATCTTTCTTTCTTCCTGAAAGGTTCTCAAATTCTTTGTCAAAGACAAGTTTAACTTGAATACTACCATCTGGACTATATTGAATGAGTAAAACCAAATTTGGTAGATTTTCACAAAACTTTTATTTTAAAAAATAAAAAATAAAAACATTACACATGACATGTTTCGAAGTACAACTTCTTTTTCAAATGTGACTAATTTACAATTCGGTATCCAATATATATGCGAAATAATTTAACAAAACAAAGTACTTAAGAAAACATCAATAACATAACAAAATAAACTAACTATTAAAGTAAATAAGGGTACTTAGGTAATTATGATATCAATCAAATAACAATAAGATAGTAACATTACCGGGATTATCTCACAGAAAACTAGGATTTATACAAATTGTATGGATGGAACGACATTTTCAGAAGTAACGTAGCTCAGTGCTACACTGTCGATGCAAAGGAAAAGACCTATCATTCACTGAAACTGATAGCAGCAAGCAAAATATCAGGTGCGTTTTAATCATCCGCTTCTGCTTCCGGAATTGTCGGTTTAGTCGTTTTAACTTGTCAGATTAAAACAAGAAAACTGACAATTCCGAAGCAGAAGCGAATGATTAAAACGCACCTATTAAAAATATTGTGCCAAGATGTAGGCAATACGTAATAAGGGTTCAAAATGGCTGTTTTCTATCTCCTTTTAAAAGGCACTCAGAAAGCTGCGCAGTGCGACCATTCTCCGTATAGTAAAAGAAAATCAAAGTATGTGGATATCAACACTCAACTGACATTATGCCGCGTTTCAGAATCCACATCGGATGCATTTTTTACATCTCGAGCGTTTTTTTATCCACATCGGACACATCTGTCCCATTACATTTACGTATTCGCTCCGTGCGCGACAGCAGCGCCAATTTGTTTTGGTATTAAAGGACTATTTCTGCCTATAATGACAAATACAATTTTTAATAGAATTCGTAAATAAAAAGTATATATATGTTAGTTTTAATAAAAGTATATGGATTTGTAAAACAAGTAAGACATTAATTTATTGTTATTATATATTTTCCCGCTTAAATTAAAGAAAATTATGTATAATCAATAAAAATCAATTATATATAAAATATAGGCAGGCAACAGTATTTACTGGAAAATGTATGAGAAGTTGCCTAAGTCTAATAAGTTGTCATTGAAGAATTAGCCTATTCTGTCGAAATAAAAAAATTCCATTTAATAATAGTGTGAAGTTAAAATGTATAAAAGAGGATCGTTATTTATATTTTCATTTTTGTTCGAAAGAAAACATAGAATGAATGATTAAAACTGGTTTCCCCAGTAAGTCACAACAAAATTGCATTCCATCCACATATTATAATCAAAGGCAGAAATCTTGAAATCTAGTCCTTGCTGAATGAACATTTAAGAATAAAGGGATATTAAAGAACATCGTAAAATGATAATTTATTGTTTATTTAAAACCTTTCAAGTTTCTGATGTCTACTATTTCCAGCATTACTGTTATTATCACAAAAATAAAGGTAATTTTTCTTCTTATTGTACACCTATCCATTGATTTCTTTGATTTAATTTCCACTTTGCTATAAGTGAAATTTTTTATATAAGTTTCACTGTTTTTTTTGCTAGTATTTGTACAATTTTCAACACAGCAACTCCGGTTGCTTATTGTGTTGTTTTTACCTACTTTTTTGACAAAAAAGTAAAATGTATACGTGTATTTGATATGCCAAAATTACAAAATATCGCCGTAAAATGCACGAATTATCCGCAGCTAGCGCTAGTATCGCTTTTGCTTCCCTTTCCATGACTTCGCACGGAGCCTTAGATTAAAAGCACGGAGCGAATACTGAATCACGTGATCAAAGATTTACTACATCTCAGATGCATCCGATGTGGATTCTCAAACGCGGCAATAATATACGAGTTCTCTCAAAATTATGTTAGCAGCGCAGTTGCCAGATATCACTACAGGTTGTTTGGTTCGGATTCATGTATAAATACACTTACGTGATATTATTGGACAAATGAAGCGATTTTTTTTTAAATTTTCATTACCTTAACTCATATACACTAAAAATGTAGATACGAGGTATCACATCTTAACTGTCGATATGTTCTAAAATGATAACTCGTAAATAACCTTACATCAAAAATAATATTCTGTTCATACTTAATCGACTATTAGGCATTCCAACGACCTGTCAAACAATAGGTGCCAGTGGGAAATTCTTGTATATTTAAGGGGGTAGCGACATAGTCTTGCAACTTGGACGCTATTTTTATTCGAAGTAGTACTCGCCAAGCCTGCCAATTTATGAAGAAATGTATAGGTGGGTTTTTTAAATATTATTTTTATTGTGTTTGACATAAAATATTTAAATGTAACCCATTATTCATGATTTTACGTAAAGTAGATAGAATATACAATATGTCGCCACCCTTAGGTATACCAAACCTGCCCACTGGTAATTCATTTGTTTGGAATGCCTAATAGGTGGTCATTAAAAAATAGAGTAATTACGTTATACAGGGTGTAACTAAATAAGTGTAAAACAATTAAGGGGGTGATTCCTTATCGAAAAAAAGATAGGATCTTTCATATAAAGAAACTTCATTGGAGCATCCCTTGTTAAGATACAGCCCCTTAAAGGGGGTACATAAAATTTGTTTAACAATTTTTTTCACAAGCACTAAACAAGTTACAATATTGAAATTAACCTGAGATTTTCTACTACCAAAAAGACACTTAGCCAGTAATTTATTTGGTTTACCCCATGGTTGTAAGGGGTGGAAAACGCAACCCCTAAAATTTCATTCCAATGTAACTTTTTATCTTATTATTTGTTTACCATTTAAAATTGTATTTCCGATAGCCTGTTTCATTCTAAACAAAAAATGTCTCTGGAATTTTTCGCCCAAAATAAACCAGTTCGCAGCAAAAAATTATTTTACGAACAAGATAGATATCGCCATAAAACGAAAATACGAAACTAATTTATCTAATAGGCCGCTATTAGCGATAGTAGAAAATGACAGGTTAATTTCGATATTGTAACTTGTTTAGTGCTTGTGAAAAAAATTGTTAAACAAATTTTATGTACCCCCTTTAAGGGACTGTATTTTAACAAGGGATGCTCCAATGAAGTTTCTTTATATGAAAGATCCTATCTTTTTTTCGATGAGGAATTACCCCCTTAAATGTTTTACACTTATTTAGTTACACCCTGTATAGCTATTAAGTTTCGAGAACCGTTCGATGGTTCGGTAGAAGACGACAAAATTATCAAAGACATGACTAGGACGCGACACAACAAAAAGTAGTTTAACTATATTATTCGCGATTCAAATTAATGTTCGCGCCAGAGATAAGGGAGATAAGACAGGAAACGCTCATAAGAATCCAATGCTTAACAACGACCAGCTTTAACGCAGTTAACATCTGACCCACTAGTGGCACTTTCATCGATGTCTAACAATAACGTAGCGGGAAATTTAAAAACCTGATAATAAAGGTTTTATAAATATCGACTGCATTCTCATGTTCTTCTAAATGAATTTAAACAATGTAATTACGCTAAATTATTTATTAAAAAGAATACTACACTTACAGTCTATTATCGATTAATTATTTTAAATCTATTCTTGACAATTATTTAATTTTTGATCGTTATTTGTAACATTACATTTCTGTTTCTATTTTCCAAACGAATGGCCAATGGTGTCTTATTTAACAATTTTGAGTGCAAACTCAATAATGGGAATTCAAATATTTTTTCTTCCTACCTATAACAAATCTTTTTAACGTTTTGAAGCCATTTTCTTGTTCTAAAACAATAAGTAATACATAAATACCTACTTTGTGAATGAAAAAAGTTGGTTCCTATTTGTGTTACTTAAGGACCGATTCCACCGTTGTGTTAAACGGAATTTAAAATGACATTTTTACATTAACAATGTCATTTTAATCTCCGTTTAACATAACGGTGGAATCGGTCCTTAGAGCCGAATCTTCCTGGAGCTCTGAGAACACGAATTCGATGGTCATCTGATCTGATTCTGGTCTTATCCGAAAAAATAACATTTTCCCAATTCTTAATTGTCCAGTTTTAATGTTGAAGGCACCAATTTAGCCGCTCAATTTTATTTTGCCTCGATAACGGTGGAACCCGTAACTCTCTCCTACTGTACAATCCTCGAGCGCGAAGTATTTTTCTTAGGGTTTCAACTGTAGCTTCTAAAAGTTATCGTTGTAGCTCTGGATGAGAAACACTGGGATTTCTTCTAGCAATTTGGCACATAAAGCGGTTCTGTTGTTCAGTTGGGACTCTTTGACGACTTTGTCTCTGGGTCTGTTTTTGAGAGATTCTAGTTCCAAGTACCTTTCATACGTTTTCGATACAATGCCCTGAGTATTGCCTACTATCTTTGATCTGTCTCCTTGTTCAACGAAGCAATAATTCTTCCCCTCTGCACATCTGTTTAGTCCAACATAGGCATTTTCTAGTTTTTTTTGGACAGAAATAAAATTAACGGAGGATCGTCATTTTACTTCTGAATACAAAATTCACAAGATAATAAATCGCAGCAGTCGTTTCTTCTTTATTATCATGTTTGTTTAGAACAAAAAGCCTTATCTTAAAGTTGGATGTAGGATGGAAGATGGCCATAATTCGTGAAATGTAACATTGATACTTTGATCAGTCTCTACTGTTCACCAGTTAATTTTTGCAGCCTTCTTTGACACATGTTTTCTTTTTCTCATGTTTTATGTCTGTATAAAACAAATTGAAGTTGCAAATAAAGTTTATTATAATTATTATAAAAAAAATAGTCTTATTATCGAGTTGTGCCTATTACGACATAGATGTGTACATGTGTGAAATAGATTATTTCTACTAAAGAAAATATTATATGAACAAATAATTTTTTAAAGGCCACGCTTTTATTGAAGTATACTAAAAAGTAAAAAATAATTTTTCAGCGAAAAATAAAAACGTGTGCGACTACGGTATTAATACAGATTACAGAATTCTGTTTTTTTGACCAAAAATTGATCCGAGTTACACACTTCTTTCTTGCTCAGGCCCCGCAACGAAGTCGAGACCAACGCAACAAAAAGCTACTAAGAAGTTACAAAAAATGAGCTGGGCCCGAGCTAGTGTCGCTACATATATCCACTAAGCTAACGGATCCGCGCTTTTAACAGGCTCAGTACAAGCTACAAAAGGGAGACTGGCGTAACAAAAAGGCTACAAAAAAGTTACGAAAAACCAGCTGGGTCTGAATCTACTATGGAAATTCAAGTTAGCGGATCTGCTGTTTTTTCGGCCCCGGGTCAAACTACATATTCATAAATAGCATAACAAAAAAGCTACAAAGAAACCACCAGATCTTGTAAGGTGTCACCACAGAGTGCCCGCCACAGGTGCCCGCTAGCTTGATATAGCTAGAATCGCCTTGAGCCGCCACTGTACATTTGGCTGGCTGTCAGCAGCGCTCTTAGTCCAAAATAGGAAAAAAGTAGATAAAAAAGAAGAAATAAAATGAAAAACGACATGATAAGGTAAGGTTATGATTTATGATAGATAAAGGTCAAAAACTTAATAACTAGGTATTAAAAATTAATTCTGCGTATTTAAATCATATTAGATATTAGAAGACAGATATAAACGTAAATTAAATAACTCGTCTCATAAGAAAGAACGAAAAAAGTAAGTAATTTATTGAAGGATATATAAATATTGATTATAATAGTATTATTAATAATAATGCTACTTTAGCACTGGTAGGGACATTAGGTTTCATTTTAGATCTGTTGTCTGGATTATGGTTTCCACAAAACTCTAGTAGATTATTTTAAATTATATACCTGTTAACATTTAACTTGACAATAAGAAGACAGTTTAACATTATGTAGCTACATTCTAAAGTCTTGGGTTAAAAAACGATAAGTCAAGAAACTCCTCCTATAATAGCACTGTTAGAGTTAGACTTTTTCAAATATTTAAAAAAGAACATTTACAAACACTGACATCTTAAATACTTAAAAAGTTTTGAAGATAACAACTGAATTACAGTCTTTCAGTTTCTTAGGAAGCTTATTAAATTCAAGTAAACCATTGTGGGATAAATATTTCTGTGTTCTTGTATAATTAGTATTTTAATGATCCCTCTGTCATATATTTGTTAAAATCTTATTTATTGCCTGCCAATATGATCTCAATAGGTGCTTTACCTAATTGTTTAAAACCCGTCCATGAACCAACTCTGTGGCGACAGTAGTAGTATTCATTTTAATGTTAAAATGTAGATGATGCCTAGACAAATATTATGTGGTGAGCTACTGTGGCAAAGAAAAGTTACACCAACTGGCCCGTTAAAGTTACTTAGCAGTGCCACAGAGTGGTACGTCTGGACAGGCCTTTAACATATGTAATTTATGGAAAATTTTACATTGATTTTTTTATTCACAATTTGAACTCTGTTAATTTTTTTTTTATAGATTTCCTCACTACAACAATGATAATTTTCCGATTGTGAAAATGTCTACTGCTATGCAGCAACCATCAAAGTCTTCATCTCAAGGTGAATAAAATTTAATAAAATTTCCAGCTACTGTGACATTCATTTTTCTTCTATTGCTGAAATTGTGAAAATAGCTCGAAATAGCTAAAATTTATACTCTTTTTGGTCTCAAGTATATAAAATTACCTACGAGGTCACAAAGTAAAACTCGTTTAGGACATATTTTTTTTAATAAACTAAAGATTTAAAAGTCCTATATAATTTATTATGTAATCAGTCATATCATGATCCCATCATGATAAATATCTTATAAAATATGACAAATAATGCAAATAATTTAGTCCATATAAAACTAAAACTCTAATAAAAAGAGATAATTATAAATTAATAATTAAAGGAGAATAGGCAGTTGTTGGTACGAAAATGTGTAGTTGCCAACTTATAGATGATTTAATTTAACTTTAGCTGAAATAAGTTACGGAGGAACCATATTGATTTAATATTGTACTAAGTAATTAAAATGTAATGTTCAGAATTTTTCAATGTAAATACTTTTTAGATCGAAACATTTTGAGGCACTCTAAATTCAAAAATATTTTTGAATTGTAGTTTCTGTGTAAAATTAATTTAAAAAAAAATCATGTCTAATAGTCTGGACTGACATGTATAGGATGCCCCTCCCTGTATGTGTTACAAACGGCTTTATATTCAATCTAATGTAACTGGAGCAATACTATTTATCCATGTATTATTATGTTTTGTCACCTTGGTCTCAGGGACCATTGATCCTTTGGAGTGCATAGAATAGTTTTGAGATATATTGCGACGCATCAAACAACATCTCCAATTCGTTTTTGAACCTCATGCAGTTTTTCCCACTCTGATGCATTATGGGGGGAGTTGTTGCAATATTTTCTGAAACTACTCTACGTGGAGCCATGTAACCAACATGTAGGGGCACTTTGGCAAGGGATACACTTGGCGGACAAAATCCTTGACTGCATCATATGATATACCCTGATAATCGTCTTTATATTACTAGGAAGTAATAATTACTATTGTTTTCCTGTAATAAGCACTACAATAACAGAATAAAAGCACTGGCCTATTATGCAATTAGTTACATTTAGGATGATATAACTTGGAATGGACGAGAAATTGAGATGAGTCATGATGAAAAGAAATGCCCTCCTTAAAAAGATCTTTTTTCTCATGCATTTCTGCCAATTGTCCTTTGAAAAATATAGGGAAAGCATCTGTAATAAAAATATATCAGAAATAGCAAAAAAAATATCTTAATATTATTAATACAAATTGTACAAAATCTAAACAATAAAATTCATATGAATTTTATTACAATAATAATAATAATAATATTAATAATAATAATGTAACAGTGTTTTGTTATAGCTGTAAAGAGCTAATCATTTTGCTCCTTGAATTATTGGGTTTTTTGGTGAAAATACTTATTAAAGAATTGTGAAAATTGTTAAACCATTAGTACATGCAATTATGGACCTAAAGAGTGAAGTTTGATTAAAAAAAAATAGTGAAGAAACTAGTAAATCTGCAAAAATTGTTTAATTAATTATTCTTAAATATACTTTTACAAGGGCAATCCTTATCAGTACAAGTTTTTATCTTTTGTTTTTTGACATCCAACAAAACAAACGGAGACATGATTTACCTTCTTCGACCAGTGGCGTAGTAAAAAGATTTTCAAAAGGTAAATTAGTGAAAATATGAATACAGGGTGTTTCATAATATATGCGCAGAACTTCAGGACGTGATAGCACGTCCAAAAATATGAAAAAACGTCTCTATTAACTTACCCTCTAAAATGCACCATTTTCGAGATACAGGGTGTTGAAATTGAAAAAAAAATTTCTACGGCACTGGAAAAAGTACGGTTTTGAGACGCCCATTTGAACCGCCAATGTTTTCTACACAAAAAAGGTATTCTTGGTCATACGCTCTAAAGTCGACCGTTTTCGAGAGAAATCAAATTTTGTTTCATCAAGTATGTACGACCATGTATTTCAACCAAAATTTGATTTTTCTCGAAACGGTCGACTTTAGAGCGTATGACCAAGAGTACCTTATTTGTGTAGAAAACATTGGCGGTTCAAATGGGCGTCTCAAAACCGTACTTTTTTCAGTGGCGTAGAATTTTTTTTTTCAATTTCAACACCCTGCATCTCGAAAATGGTGCATTTTAGAGGGTAAGTGAATAGAAACGTTTTTTTATATTTTTGAACGAGCTATCACGTCCTGAAGTCCTGCGCATATATTATGAAACACCCTGTATAAAATGGAGTTCTTCCCATGCAAAGAGATTAAACAACCAACCAAAGATATAAAAAACCCATGTCACCCTTGTGATTCCTGTAGAAATTTAATATGCATGGAATGCACTGAACTCTCTTCTTCTGAAATAAGGTGCCTGCCTTTACAATAACGTTTACTGCAATTTAATTGTAAATCATGTCGCAACCATGACTACCTTAAACTATTGAAGAGTAAAATTAAAGATAAAGAAACTATAATCGCTGATAAAGATGAAATTATAAAGAATAAAAATGAAATAATAAAAATTCTGCAAGAAGGGATTAAAGAAAATAAGGATAAAGAGAAAAATGGACCCTCTTTATCTTATGCAAAAGTGACAACTTTACAAGAAAATATATTACCCACCAATATACCTCAAAATGTTCCAGATGTGATAATTAAACCAAAAAATAACCAAGATCCAACACAAACAAGAGAAGACATCAATACTAACATTAACCCTGCCAATTTAAAAATTAGAATAACAAATTTGAAAACAACTAAATCCGGATCTGTGATCATCAAGTGCAAAAGTAAAAAAGAATCTAAAGTTCTCGAAAATACAGCCAGAAACACATTAGCAAACTCCTATACCGTTGAAACTTCAAAAATGAGGAAACCACAAGTTAAAATAATGAATTTTAGAGAAGAATAAATAAAGAGGAAATTGCAGATTCTATACTGCAACAAAATGAAACACTAGAAGATTTTAATGTAACGTTTATTAAAAAAAGAAAAATGGAGAAAATACAATAGGTATATGGAGAATGCTCAGCTTCGACGTTTAACCAATTAATGCAGCTAAAGAAGGTATTCATTGGTTGGCAACGTTTTCCTGTCTATGAAGACTTATCAATTCCCCGCTGTTTTTGTTGCCAAGAGTTCTACCATAAAAAACAAGATTGCAGAAACAAATTAACATGTCCTTATTGCGGTGAAGAACATGAACAAAAAGACTGTCCAAAACAAAAAAAAGTCTGCATCAATTGTGTAAATTCAAATTACAAATATAAATTGAAGAATGATACTAACCACCATTCAACAGATACTAGTGAGTGTCCCACATTGCAATATCACATAAAATTGCTAAAAGCCAAAATCGATTATTCTCCTTAAAGGTACTAATCGATCAAGACATTATTTTGGAAAATTTAAGTCAATTAGAACAAGATCATCATGGGACCTATATAGATCCTGATAAATACGTATCCTTGATATCAAATAAGCACTTCAATATAAGGAGTGCAAATAAGAACCGATGAATTCCTGGTACTGATGGAAGCATACAAACTATCTACTTGTGATATTTTTGTTTTAAGTGAGTGTTTTCAAACTGCAGTCGTAAATAATCTGAACATTCCTGGTTATACCACTATACACAATGGAGGCGACTTCAACAGAAATGATGGTATTATAACATTAATCAAATCCGATCTTAATTATAATATATCTAATGAAAAATTTAATATATGTGGGGTTTCCCTATCTATAATAAATCTATCAATTCATGGTGAATCCTTCAGAATAATAGCATTGTACAGACCTAACCCAAGTAACTTGACTTCGTTCATTGAGGAGCTTGATACATATTTAGACCAAACTAAACAGAATATTAAAATTGAATTATTAATCGTTGACATTAATTTAATGAATGAGAATGAGTTAAATGTAAACAAATATCTTTCTGTGCTTGCCAAACATGGTTTTGTACCTTATATTTTAAATCCTACCCGTGTTACACTGGAATGTGAATCATGTCTAGATCATATTTTCTTAAAAAGTCACTCAATAACCAACAAAACTTCACTTTTGACTCATTTATTCTTAAATGCCACATTACTGACCACTATCGGGTCTTATTACAGGTAAATTCTAAATTAAACACAAAAATTAAACTTAAACTTCAATGAAAGAGTAATTACCAAAATTGATGAGCAAAAATTAAAAACCTTAATGAAAAATGCAAATTGGAATGACATTTTAAATGTACATGATCCCCAGATTGCAACTGATAATTTTTTGAGTCAATTCAGTAAATACATCGATAACTCAAAAACTGACATGCGTAATATGAAAAAAAAAAAAAAAAAAAAAATTCAAAATAAACCCTTGGATAACAGAAGGATTAAGGCTACATTTTTCACCAGAACTGGAAAATGAATACAAAACGTATAGAAACAATTTAAATATATTACTAAAAAAACTAAAAAATAACTATTATTACAGACAAATTGAAAACAATAAAAATAACTTAAAAAAAGTTTACCAAATAATTGCTGATGCTACTAATGAAAAATCTACCTCTAGGTTTGTTAATGATGAAGGTGTTGAATTTAAAGACAATAAACAAATGGCAAATCACTAATAAATATTTTATCAATATTGGTCTAAATATGCTAAAAAATATAAATAAAACGAATTACACAGAAATCTTATCATACAATTCTAACACTATGTTTCTCAATCCAATTTCAGATAATTAACTAATAGAGCATATATCTTCATTAAAAAGCAATAGTTCATCAGGTATTGATGAAATAACAGCTGACATTATAAAAAATAATCATCAATACATCCTAAAACCGCTTAAACATGTAATAAACTTAATATTTTTGAACGGTCTTGTCCCCAGACAATTGAAATCTTCTATAATTGCACCAATTCATAAGGCTGCAGATAAATCAAAAATTTCAAACTATAGACCAATTAGTGTAATAAATAATTTTGGAAAG